CCGTACTCTGAGGGGAAGTAACAGCTAAACGTGTTCATTCATCATCCCGGTATGCGTCTCAAATGACTGCAGTAACAACACACCTTAAAACGTGTTCTACGAAAAAATCATAGGACCTTTGCGGCTCGGATGTACCTGCATACGTACGTGACTCAGACTGTAAAACTGAGTGCATCCGAATCCCCTCTAATGAGTTGTGGTGCTCTGCCTTAGCAGAGAACCAATAACGATGAACAAATTCTGTTATGCGCAATGTAGTGTCTGTTCCTTTACAGTACCAACTCGTGGCATACATCTAGACAGACAGTAATAAAGAGCACGAGCTCAACCAGTTAGCTGACTTAGGTTGACCACATAGCAGAAAGCTATGTGACTCGGCACAAAATTGCAGATCCTACTGAAACACCTGCATTAACTCTGGTCACGCATTAGTTCTATATATTTCTGTACGATGATGAAGATGATGACCAGTTCTGATGAGTTTTCCGACTCGATACAACAGTCACCATCAAAAGCCAAAAATGCGTTAGGCCATCAGCTTCTGCGTGGAAAAAGTTATAAAATGAACTAGGAGCTTTCCGACATCGCGTACTAAATGAAAATGGAATTAGATTAGATGAAAAGTGCCTCCGGCAGCGAACTACGCCTCAGAAAACAAAAGTGAAGCCCGTCAAAGACAATGGATTTTTAGGACTAAGTACTGCTGATGGGGAAGGAACGAAGACAGACTGACCCGGACTCAAACGGAAGTAGATGGCTTCTGCTATGTCAAATTATAAATGACGGCGAAGAATGATGAGTAAAACAGCTAGTAAAGTAGAGGTAGTTTTCGCCTAAGAGTATAGACAAAAACGGTTCCAAATGATACGCAGCACTGACTATCAGCCGATCCCGGTTAGCAAAACAATGTGAGAGAAAAAAGCACTCACAATAAGGGACGAGAGCTTTATCCCTGGGTTGGTAGTGACCAGATTGCCGCTACCGTTGAAGCTAACGCTACGTGGGTAGTGTAATTCAAGTTTCCAACAGGACAAAAAACAGTCTCACATTCAACCTCTAAATAAAAACAACTGAAACTGACGGTTTTCTTTCACTCTTGAGATGATGAAAATGTGCTAGCATCATTCTGGGTCAAATCAATCACACCCCCACTTTTATGGAATGCAACGACGGCACAAATCACTGTGAAATAATTCAATCCCGATCGATATTAAAGCGTTCGCCTCCATCACACTTAGCAGTCTAGCCCTACAACAGGCGGGATAACGTCCAGGTCACAGCTGGTCCGGTCAAATCTTCATTTAGTGTTAGTTGTTCGAGTTGCGTCACACAAACATACTAAAGACCAATGACCACTGCAGTGTTCGTTGACCTATAGGGATTTTCTGGCTCCTTTTTAACGCGAGTGTCAGAATAGTTGGTCTCTGTCCTCGGATGGGTTGGGTAAACTTTCACCCAATGTTCCGAAAAGACCAAACGTCTCAAATAACCCCTGTTGGGGAAGCCCCACTCACTGACTTTTCGTGAGGTGTTTTTCCAGTAAAGTCAGAGGACGAAAAGACATTCATCGGCTAGAGGTTTTCGACCACTTAGTAAGGTGGAACTGGTACATCAGTAACACTCAAGAAAGGTGTGGGGTTTGGGAAATATTTCGTTGGAAAATCGCTAGCATATCGAAAGGTGGGCTATTGACAATATTTAAATATCGTTGGCTCGATAGTAACTTTGTAAGCTCAAGGCATCCACAACGAATGAACCCCTTAATGAGCCTCAGAAATAAGCAATCTAGAAGAGTAGAGTCAACTGATTAGAGAGGAACAAGTCGATTGGCAAACGGTGACAGCTAAAAAGTGGTCCGCTCCGAATTGCACGATACGTTGCAATTTTGAGTCCCTTCCGGCATTTTGTGGATGAGGAGGAAAAATAATGGTCTCCAAAGATGAATGTTTTATACCTGAAGCCCATCACCATTATGAGGATTATCTCAGCAGAGGTAAAGTTTTCTTATCAAGCATGCACGCAAGCAGGCAACAAACCACATGACCACAAACTAGCATGTGCGCACGCACACACACACTGCGTGTCATTTCGTCTGTGTGTGTATGACACCCACAACACTATGTGTACCACTACACCAACATGCTACGGTGATACACGAGAATAGGGATGAACCAACTAATACAAGCATACATAGGCACAGAGATACGCCAACGGACAATAGTGCGATTGCAGATGGCGATCTGCTTAGTGCGCTCGTATAACCCATCATCCACACTGTAGGCAGTGGTACTTATTGAGGTGATGGTAGGGCGTGATAGGGTGGAGCGATTTGCGATCACGTCGTGAATCCAACGTAAGCGGCAATGACAAAGGGCCAGAAATCAATAATCGATAGATCGATATTTACCGAATGAATGAATGAAAGGAAGAAGGCTCGGATCGATGGGTTGAATGGTTGGTCGTTCGGTCAATTGATCGGCCCAGTCAACAGGTAGCCAAACTAGACAAACCAATTGGATTGACCTGAACTACGAGCAAAGAACACGCAATGGCCGTGTGGAATTGTATGAAGAGGCAATTTGTAAGGTGAATTCCGAGTGTCTCTTGGTACTAACTCCAGCATTATGCAATTGACGAAATAGTATCCTGGAACAGCAAAGAATGAGTGCTCGACTGTATGCTATGGACAACTCACACCTCATCTCGTTAAAATGAGGATTCGACACGGCATAACGATCGAGTACTGTTAAAGAGAAATGTAATCATCCTCGGTTAGCTCCGGCAGAACAGATAGAGCAGTACAGTACTTATCACAATTTTTTCTCCTCAACGCGAAGGGAAATTGGTGGTGAAGAATGTGAATGCGTGATGTAGGGTGACTTCAAATACCATTGCTTGGAAGCAGGCTCGAACAAAATCAGAACAGGAAAATGGTACTCACCGCACCAGTGGGATTGATGCCCACCAAGAACGGGTTGGCATGGTGCGCAGGTCGAGAGACATTTGCTGGTGGATTAGCCGGGGCGGCTGTTGCATTCGTGTTGCTTGCCCCTCCAGCCGCTTTCGATTCGGGCTCGGCCGATGGGGTGTGTGATGAAGGTGGATTACGCAGGGTAGCAGCGCGCTCTGTAACAAAAAAAAGAAGTGAAATAGATATTACAATACAAACAGATCACGGGAAAGCAATGTTCATGAAAAATAAGCGTGCGCAGCACTGTTCACAAAGCGACCAAAAGGAAAAACGGTAACCATCAAGAAGAATGATAGATTTCGGGGGGTGGGGGAGCAACACAGTAAAGTACACGGAAGACCAATGGCTATGAAACAGACGGGAAAATGATCTTCTTTACACATCGTATTACAACCAACGAGTTAAAACAGAAGCATCTGATATCGAAATGCATTTGAATCAGAGGTACATATGAAGGGTCTCGTTGGGAGCGTTGTCAAACCAATATCGATTGAAATTGCATTGGTCACCTCCATTGTGAGCAAGTGCGCTTTTCACATACTAGCGCCTCTGCATCTGACAACAGACTCAGTTTACTTCTTTGCAGCAATCAGTGCTCACTGGTTACAAAATTCTGCGAGTTGACATTGATGTCCGACAGTCAGCTAGTACAAGTTGGTAATCGTGTTTGTCAGGGGGTAGGTTTGTTCATTGTTATTGCAACCGGCCTTTCGACAAATGAACACTTTTTCGTAGCCGAGTGACTGAGCAGTCCAAATGGGTCGCTGAAATGTTTGCGTGGATTCCTGATAGTTTCGCCACTACTGATTCCAAATCCAGCTAGGTTAATTTTACTGCCATGGAGTTCTCAAACAAGGGAAGTATGAAATATAAGTGCTAAAAGGGCAGCAGAGTGAAATTTGGCGACAATGCTCGAGTCATGAAGCCTCATTTCGGACAAGCAACAGATGCCATGAAGAAGGATAAATGAATTAGTTGTGATGTATTGAAAAACCTTTAGGAGGGGGCAATTTACCGAAATCCGAGAGCTTACCGCACACAGAAAGAATATCACTTCGCCGTATACCCACCCCATCAAATAAGCTATGTTCCAGTCCTGGAGTCGCGCTTCAATGCCACTTGGATAACACTTCCAAGTCGAGAACGTGCTTAAGTTTTCCCAAAACACTACCGGTGTGAGCTCCATAACCCAGTGGTTTAAAACCTTGGGCAGATGGAAAACTGCTTTTTACATCCACCTGATTTTCCTCGTCTCTGGCTCTCGGATAATACGGATAACAATCGTCGTTGTGCAAATCTAAGTAGCATTAACCTCTTCGAGGCCTTACGTGATTCGTCATCTCGTTTCATGAATCAAATTGTCGTTTCTGATAACTGAACCAAAGGTCTCTACAATTCGACTTAGAATTCATTGTTCGCAACAATGTCAATTACAAACCGTCCATGTGACCAGTAGCGTCCAGTCAGTGGTTCTTTCAGAATCAATGATGGACGCTCGTCCAGCAACTACATCCAGTTAAATTTGTGGCACAAGTCGTTTAGGAATGCTCTGGGAGGTGCCTATTTCAATACCCGCTCCGACAGTGGTAGAGCACTTAACTAAGAACGCAACGCATAGCTCAATGGCGAAACAAATGTGTACAAACCGCAAAACAGATTTAAATGAAAGTAAAACTTTTGGAATTAGATCAAATACTGTTTCAAAAGCGGTACTAATATTGCAGTCATTAAAGTAAGAAAAATAACAATAATATCCGTAAAAAAATTTTATGCGTCCGGACTCGCTGGAACAGAACCTCGTCCAACACAGATGACGCAATACAAATCGGAGAGAATAAAAAGGAGTCCCAAACAGGCAGGACAACAGTGCACGTACAAACACCCGCGAAGTGAGACATTTGGATAATAGGTGCACGAGCTTACCCTGAGCCCGCTGTTCAGGGCATGGGCGGCCACTTGAGTGAGAACCGGCACCTGATCATATTTTTGTTTTCAGTGGTATGATGGTAATGATAATGAGATAAGGGAGGTTACGCAAACCAACGGGGCACATTGGAGCAGAATCATTCGCGGTAAGGCCAAGGATTCAGGTAGAGGTAACGCACGAGCATACGCGAGGAGGGACGGATCGGTGGAAAATAGGTTCGGGGCAACACAAGACAACGATGAAAAAGACGAAAGTCAGTCCAGTCATGTCAGTGTACAATCGGGGTACGAGGTGATGGTGGAATACAAGCGGACACAGTCGGACAAGAGCACAACATAAATGAAAAATTCGATTCGGTGAAGTTCATTGTTGCATGCATATTCGCAATCCTGTTCTAGATCTCAGTGTGGATGAATGCTTGCACAGCGGTGAAACAGGGAAGAATACAACGCATTCGAATACGAGATTCATGCACGCGGTTATCCCTCATCTAACAATACTGGAGCCTCAGCAACGTTCAAAATGTAGATGCACTTATCGACACTACGGACATTTTTGGAATAAAATCATCTGTCTGCTGAGGCCCTCTCGCGCTCAAATGGAACCACGTTGCTAATTGTAAGAACTGGTAACAGTATTCTGCTCGAGTGACAAAAACCATCAACACCAAATATAACAACTCTGCAGGAAGAAGAGACAACTCTTCCGGTTCTTGCTGAGGGATGAACTCGCAATAATTGAAAATGTCTGAGATTAAAGCAGGTTTTCCCCATGAAAGTAAGTTCTGTGACAAATATTTTATATTTTCACACACGTCTGAATCCAGACTGTGTGCCAAACAAATCTTGGTGCAATATTCTTTATGAAAAAAGAAAAACGTTCCATGATTTGCATGTGCGCTGAATACTGCCAGGTTCCCCAGGCCAAGGCAGGTGAATTTTCTTGAGGAATCCACAACCGGAGCTTTCGGCTAACCAAAGCCCGACCCGCAGTCAGCAGGGCGGTGTCCAGTTCTGTGACAAAAAGTTATTGATGCCCGTAGATAGCAAAGTCAACTATGTAAACATGAAACACCACTAGGTAAGGACACCACCATCATACCCAGTAGGATGTGCAAGGAATGGAGGTGGTCCATTATAAAAGAATATGGAGAAGGTCGAGTGGCACTGAGGATGCCACTTTGTGCTGCAAGGAATCATTCACAAAGCCGATTTATTCTCATGTGGAAGAACGTTGCTTAAAACTAAGATAATTTTAGTTATTAACGGCGGAAACAGTCTCAATTTTAAAAGGATTATAGACAACCTTATATGAAAAATGCATCAATCTTGAGAGGAAAGACTGAACTGGAGGTCTTTTAGATTTTGACTCACTGCAACCACTACTATCCTAAATCGAACTGTCTACGACAACAGATAAACATTCACAAGTTCTCCAGAAGACAAACAGACTGAATCCCGAGAACATCACATTTGTCGCTGCATTGGAAATGTCAATACTTGCTGGTGCAACTTTACTGACCAATGGCAACACGTGTAGCATGCTAGTCCACCATTGTGATTTAGCTTATTATTTCAGATAACGGAAGTCTTACTAGATTACAATCAAAGCGGGAAATGTGAAGAGCCACGATTTCAATGGCACAAAATAATCCCTGCGATGTTTGATCTGGTCGTCATTTAGACCGTCCCGTTTATCGACAAATGTATAAGGATACAAAATGAAGAAACCATGTATGGACAGCTGCAGCAGAGTTTCAGCTATTTGAGTACTGATGCGCACACATGAATGTGGTGATAGGAAAAACCGGTCGGGTGTTTCTCTCTTATCATCATGTGACCTCGGGCTCTAATTGGCTGTTTTATGATCGAGGGAACAAACTCCCCCAATGAAGATGCTAAATATAATAAAACGATTCCATGCAAAGAATCAAACCACTTGTGATGCATTAAACCAATCCGAAGGGTATATCGTGGATGCAGAAACAAAACAGTCGAAACATCACTAGTAATTCGGGGAGCACGGAACACAGAAAAACACGGGGCAAAATCGACCGAGAGATTAAAAAACTGAATCCACTCAAATCAGGTATTTATTTTAGGACTAACCTTTGGGTGCGAGATTCTTCAGCCCACCGTATCGCTTCCAATATGTCCAACAGCTGGAGCAAAGCCGATACAAAAGATTTGGAGGACCCCAGGCGTACCACTGCGAGGAAGAAGTAGCTGTGCGAAGAACAGATCAGAACGAATGCTTGTTGAAACTAAAATAATCTAGGTGTTTCCAATGATTTTTAAAGTATCATTCACAAAAAATGAAGGTTACAATTGATCTTTGCACGGACAAATATCTCTGTTCAAAAAGTAAATATCATGTGAATTTCGATCGAGCATTTTGAGCTATTACACCTGAGAGACTGAACAAAATAAATGAGAAGCACGACGGTGGGATATGAAACGGCGCAAAATGAGCAGTAGAAAAACTAAGTTATAGTTTCAGCTTTCTATCAACGTGTTAATCAGTGATAGGCATGCCGCGAGTACAACACCTTGTAGGCAAATTCGTATGAAGTAAACAGCAATGCACGTACAGCTATAGGTCCCGCTCACTCAGGAGGCAACCTGGATTCAGAGATATCAGGTATGCATAGGAAAAATAATTGCAAAAAAATAAGCTGTGGCTTACCGGAACAGCCTTCGCAACCACGACCGGCTTTGTCGGAGCCATTGTAGAGCACAGCAGGATTTGGTTTGCTATAATTTGGTATGTACACTTGTTTTAGTTTGTGTTCCTGAGCGGCCAACTTCGTGCGACGCTGTCTCACGTACCGGTCAGTAGTTTTCCAAAAATAGTACAACTCCACCAATGACTTGTGTGTTTTCCAGGGCAAAGATTCCGTCTGAATTTCCGAGAATGTCTTGGAATACTTATCAAGAGCCTCCTCAAAAAGTTGGGCTTCACTAGGAGACCATTCCTCAAGTTGATCCCGGCAAATTACCGGTTGGTTACCTAAAAAAGCACATGGACTTGGTAATGATTCTGAAAGACAGAACAGATTGGGCCGATGCTTATGGACATAATATGAGAAACTTTGTCGTCAGTGTCCAACTCACAAGAACGTCTGTGCAATATTTGCAATGGAAAACTAACCAAATAGTGAATAATCCATTTTTTCAGTTAGGATGCCGGGTCACTCACCTGGAAGCAATAGTGATATGGCTTTTTTTAGATCATAGTTCGCTCGATGCAAAAGATCATGTGCGTATTGTTTGGTGATATCACGTCCGGCTGCGGTAGCCGCGCCTAGTAACAGAGGCTGTCTGGTTGCCGAGCTGGGATCGTAGGCCCGTCCAAGAGTACCCACAGCTCTGACAAGAAGACAAAACATATCGATTTCCTCGTCAGTCATGGATCCTGGTTTCCAAACTAGCTCTTCAAGATGAGTGTTCAGACGGCTATCCGTCGAGGCTAGATAAAGAAGCGATAACAGTGATTAGGCAGTATTGTCTCATAATCCATTTTCTCTGAACGAAGCATGTTTATGTACAGATAAATGATCCGATAATATACAGATAGAGCCCAAACAGATTGGGCTGGTATATATAATCACGCGTCCAGGATAACTTTCTACAGGCCTGAGCGAAAAAAATGGCATGCGGGTAGTGGAGTGAAGAATAACACAAAGCAGCTTAAACAAGCACCGGTCGATATCAATTAAGCGAACCTGAGAGACCTCAGACTGTATATGGTCAATACCGCACGTCTTAAGCTTTGATTGATCATAGCCATTTTCCTGAAAATCAAACAGTTCATGAACAGATTGTCTATTCTATGTAACCGAGTACCGTCACATAGGTGAAAAAGCATTGGTTGATTCGTACATAAAATGCAACTCACAATCTTTGAGGAATGGTTGAATTTCTGATTGATGATCCGATCCGATACGCATAGATCCTCTATCTTCTTGCAGGGTTTTTAACGAGGGATCATATATCAGCTTGTAATAGAATGCGTCTTCCCGTTTTAGGTAATTGGTCAGCGGTTCGACATCGTTATACAAGGTGACGGAGCACTTGCCTGATAAAGCAAAGCACAAAACGTGAGAAAAATGACCTAACTAAAGGTGAAAAAAGTGAAGTGATTCAATAATACAGACTGAAAAAGAGAGATGCATGATGCAATGTTCAGAAGCCCATCGAAACAGATAGACTGCAGATCGAGTAAGTGGAGAGACCACTTGCATTGGCTTTAATCGCGATAAGCAACTTTACTACGTATTGTTGAACGCTACATCGCTCCATCACGACGAGACTGCACCTTGACCTGGTGTGATGGCTTGCGTGCCTCCATGACCCTGCGAGCTACACAGGATGGCTTTTCACAGGCGGGGATCCAACCATGCCTGAAAGGTCAACGGGTAGAAGCCAGACAAAGCTCAGTCTCACAAGGCCAGCTGCTTGGGCACCTCCTGGTTTCCTTCCTCTATCCACAACCGCCTCTGGAGAGGTCACTCAAGCAAATAAACAAGTTGAGGGGCAGTTTACCGGTCGAAAAACCCCGCTAGATGGACGTACAAGCGGGGTATCTGGAGCTTCTCTGAGATGGTGGGAGAAGTCTTCGCACTTCATTGGACAGCTATCAGCAGCCCAAGCTGGGCAGCCCCCAACCAACAAGGTGCTGTCCCGACCACGTTCCGCTTGTCTCATTGGGTGCATGAGGCTGAGAGCTGATCCCGAAAAGCGGACCGACAATCAACACACCAGCGAACAACAAATTAAACCGAAATTCAAAGGCTTTGCGTGACAGGTCTCCAGAAGCTCCCACACGGGTGCTTCGTTCACGCTCCCGCGTTGGATTTACGCCCCACTGCCTTGTGGATCAGACTTTTGAGTCTATGGCTCCGGTTAGGACGTAGTTCTTCCCAGTCCCAAATAATTCTAGATGCTTCCAGGTTACGCCACCCATCGCATATCAATCAGCGTTTCACAAGCAAGGCCAGACAATCATGATTTTCAAACCAAAATCTTCTTTCTATTTAGCCGCATTTAATGTCCGAACACTCTGTCAGATCGCTCAACAAGCTGTCTTAGATACAACCCTTGAAACTTTCAATTTAGATTTATGCTGTGTCTCCGAAACACGCATACAAAACCCTACTTTCATTACCTCCCTGCGTTCTCCAGATCCAACCTCAACCTAACGCTTCACCCTTCGTGTGACAAACGATTCGGCGTCCGAAGCGCGCGATGTTGCTGATGTCAGGATTGCGCTAAGTACAAAGGCGGAGCGCTCGCTTCTTGACTGGATTCCGGTCAGTAGCCGACTTTGCGCTGTACGTCTTAACCGTTCAGCACGAGTCAACAGTCACAACATGGAGCGTTGATGCTTGTTCGTCGTATCGGCGTATGCACCGACAGATTGCAGTACATCTGAAATCAAAGATTAATTCTACAAGGATCTTTTCCAATAACTCCGAAGTGTTTGATCAACGAACGTCGTAGTAGTCGCCGGAGACCTCAATGCTCAAATGGGATCCCTGGATGAATAAGAAAGGCTTCTTGGCGGACCGCATGCAATCCCAGCTAACTGGACGGACAACGGAGGTCGCCTATTTCAACTCTGCACAGACCACGGATTGTTCTTGTCAAACACGAACTTCTCGCACAAGAAACGCCATTGACTTACATGGAAACCGCCAACCTCTTCACTGCGCTGGACCCAGGTCGACCACATCGCCATCCGTTACCGCTGGAGGGGACCAATTCAAGACTGCCGCTCTCACTGGTCAACAGCTGTGGATACAGAGCCAAATTCTCCTTACACCTGGCAAAAGACCACAGAAAAGCCACCGACAACGGATACCCACGATACAGCGTCCACGATAGCTGCAAATCGGCCTTCGAAGCGGAGCTCTCCGATCGCCTGTCAGTTCAACCACCAGTCGAAGGACTCGGTGAACACCGGAAGCAAATCAAGGAAGCTATGCAAACATCATCAAAAATGACGTTGAACCATGGCGCCGGTTCAAAATACAAACGATGGATCTCGTCGACATCGGCCGCCTTGCTGGAGGACCGCAGAACCCTGCCTCCGGATGCCAAAAATGATAGAGCAAGCAAATCCCTTAAACGCCAGCTCATCAAGAGTCTGAGGAATGATCGCGAGAAGTGGTGGTTAGAGAAATGTAGAGAGATGGAGAAGGCTGTGAATATCGGCAATAGTCGCAATGTTTTCTGTCTAAATAGGAATATAGGCCCCAGGGAAGTACGCGTGAGCGAGGTAATTAGGCAATACAATGGCACACTGATTCACGATCAGAAACGCCGTCTTGATCGACACGCTGAAAACTTCAAGGCTCCGTTCAACTGGCCCCCGTCGACATCTGATCTTTCACCCTCCACCTTGACTGGGAATGTACTGCTCGGGGTGTATGGGGTACCCCGTAGGAGTAGCACCTCTGACTCGAAGGGCTGTCGGCCTACTTGGGGCATCCCCCGTTCGCAGGCCTCCACTGGGAGCTCAGCTCTTACCTGTGGTTCCCGGAAGCTGTTTGGATGCTATAGCGGCCACACCCCGGTAAACCGCTCGACAGGCGGGGCAAACCAGGTTGAGGGTAACCGGGAGCTCAACTCCCGGCGAGTCGGTGTCTAGGATACGTGTTGTACTGACGAAGTCGGTTTCACGACTCAGCGGCCGAGACAATGACTCATCATGGATGAATGGATCCCTGATCAGTTAGCAACTGACAATGGCGTATGAGCTCCCAGAGGGCAACCGGCAACCATGCACCACCTGCCTGCTGTTTAGCAGTTAGCACTTGGATGTGCAAACGCTAGAGATGCCAACTCGACCCAGAACCGGGTGACGCTGGGGACGTTTCCTGTACCGAACTCCCAAGAAACTCATGGGAAGCCGGCATATCCTCTACCAGGAGCCAGCCGACGTAAAGTAAAGGAAGTAAGTACTGCCAGTTGACATCAGTCCTCCATCTGAAGTGGAGGTTACCCGGGAAATAAGTCACCTCAAACGGTATAAGGCTTCCGGCCCCGACGGGCTGTCCCCATCCGTTTTTAAGGATGAAGGCTCAGCCTTGGTTTTGGAGTTAACAAAACTCCTAGGCTCAGTGTGGGAAAAGGAAGAGGTTCCAACTGAATGGTGTGAATCGGTGATCATACCGATTTACAAGAAAGGTGACAGATCCTCCTGTGAACTCAATATTGCCCCTAAACTTCTCGCCGGTATCATACTCCGTCGATTGTCTGCCGCACGTGAGATCATACCGATTTAAAAGAAAGGTGACAGATCCTTCTGTGAAAACCACAGAGGAATTAGTTTAATCAATATTGCCATGAAAGATCCTCCTGTGAAAACCACAGAGGAATTAGTTTAATCAATATTGCCTCTAAACTTCTCATCCGTCGATTGTCTGCCGCACGTGAACGGTGTACGCGTGAGAACCAATCAATATTGCCTCTAAACTTCTCGCCGGTATCATACTCCGACGATTGTCTTCCGCACGTGAACGGTGCACGCGTGAGAACCAGGATGGATTTTATACCCGGTCCAAGTTGTATCGACCACATCTTCACTCTCCGATACATTCTCTAGCATCGACATTCTTTTCGTAGACGCGTCATCTTAACACCGGGAGTGTTGGGTGACGGTGGGTGTGACGTAGCTCAATGATCTGACGAAAAGTAAAAATTTCAACAATACATTCACGGCCAGACCGGAATCCGGCTTGCTGTTCACGGATGTTGGCAACTCTCATAGGAACCAGACGTCGTAATTCGATGGAGGCCAGCACTGTAGTGACCATTGGGATCAAACCTATCCCGCGATGGTTTTCGCAATCGTTGCGAGATCCTTTCTCGAAAATAGAAACGATTAGTGATTTACCCCAAGATGAA